GAACGCCGAGGCGCGCCTGGAAATAGCGCACACTTGCCCCAGCCCGAAGGGGAGTCGCGCCGCGGCTCAGAGGGGCGCACTTTCGGATCCCAAAACCGGCCGCGGACTTACTTTGAGGAGCCGCAGAGTCACAAGCATCGCTCCCCGTCTATGTAAATCCCGGAACCCTAGCGGGTCAGCCGCCGCTGGACCCGCAGACGCCGGCCGGAGGACCCGGCGAGGCTCCCCGCGCTCCACAGCGCCGGCTAAGCGCTGTCAGCTCCGCTCGCTGCCTCCGCGGCGATGTTGCAACCTCTGCCTGGGAAAATGGCTTTTTTATGAATGGGAGGGCAGGGAGCGGCAGTGCGCACGCGCGCCGTCCGCGATTCTATGAATGGGTGGGCACAAGAGACCCCGCGCGCGCATGCGCCGCGCTCCTTTTTTTATGAATGGGGGGCCGGAAAAGAACTTAACCCGTGATTGCTGGGGCTGGCTCTCGCTCCTCAAGGGGCCGTCGTTCTTTTACAAAGAGGGGTGGAGGCTCGAGTGGAGGTTGTTGTTGCCTTTTTTTCTCTCTAATGAATGGAGGGCGGCGGCGACTGCTGCAGCTGCCCCAGCTGCGCGGGCTGTACGCCCTCTCCGCCTGGGAGAGGAGGTAAAGTGGCCTTCACGCCACTGCGGGTCTGGGCAGGAACCGTCAGTGTCGCTGGGGGACGGGGGGCGCTGCGGCCTCCGGATCCGGGGCTGAAAGTAGAGTGGGGGAGGACGCCCCTAGATCTGGATGTCTTTACCCCCCGCAGGCAGAGGGGAGGCGGGAGGACCCCTGCCGGGGGCCTTCTCTTTCTCTAGACCAATGACGCCCAGGGGCGTCGGGGGGAGGGGTCTTGTAGCTGTGTTTATCAAAAATTAAGGAAATGCCAGTCGTCCGTATCAAAGAAGGGCAGAGTGAGTACTGCTGAGTGAAATCTGGTTGCTTTCCTGAGGCTGAGTCTCTCGTGCGTGCTGATCACCCCTCCCCCCTCGTCTTGGGTGTAGACGGTGACAGGGCTCAGGCCTTTTCCGGCTCCAGGACCCCCCGGGGCGATTCTGGCCACTCAGCCAGAGGAGGCCTGGCCCTCGCCTCCCGGCGGCCCTGCTCCCCCGCCCCAGCGGAATGTCCGCAGTGCTCGGGTATCCACCCGCCCTCTGCGGCCCCGGCTAGGTGCCCCTCTGTCCCAGTCCGTGTCCCCGCCTGCCCAGGACGCTGGCCGGAGGAGCCTTGGTCCTCCGAAGGTCCAGGGCCCTCTGCTACTGTAGGCGCCTTTCCCAGCCCCTCTCAACCCCCCGGGGAAGCGGGAGCAGCCGCGAACTAGCCAGGTGGATGGGTGGAGCCGGCTGCGCCGAGGCTCGAGGATGCTGCCGGGGTGGCCGCGGGATTAAATAACAACAGGCTCTTGAGCCGCAGAGGAAATGGATGGCTGGGGATCCTTTCTTTGCTGTTAATGACGGGGGGCGGGGGCGGGGGTGGGGATCAGCCTGAGCCCGTGAAAAGAAAAACCCCCGCCATTAGGCCTGAGTCGGGGAAGGCGGGAGCCCCCGCGCAGGCCCAGCCCCTCCCAGGAACGGAGGAGGCTGCAGCCCCCGGGGAGTCCGGGGTAGGGGTGGCTTGGATGCGGGGTCGAGAGCAGGGCCAGGCCCCGAATCCCCTGTGAGGTTTGTGTTGCCGCTGCTCTGGCCTCACGGGGAGATGGCGAGGCAGTCGTTTTCTTCCTACGCCACTACCCGACTGCCCTTGGCTGTTGTCAGAGGAGCCAAGGAAAGGCTCCCAGTCCAGGTCTCGGGTCCGGCCTGGGGCTGCGGCTCGGGCTCTCGAGACGGGCAGCCCAGACCGGAACCCAAGGTCACCGTGACCTAGCTTAAAATGCCTTCTCACCGTTCAGACTCACCTCTGCCCGCGAAGACCTCCCCAGCTCCGGGGGTCAGAGCAGGGCCTCCTCGCGAGGACCTCAGCCTTCTCTTCAGGGCCAACACCGTCCTCCGTCCTCTAAAGCCGCGCGCGCGACTCTTCGCCAGGACAATGGGGGATTTCCCAAGCTGTTCGGGCCTTCCCTTCACAGCACTGGAGTTCTTATCACTCTCTCCATTTGTCAGATGTAAAAATTGCGGCTCAGGGTAATCACCTGGTAATCATCTTAGTGCACCTGGCAAATGGAAGCCTAGTAAGCGAGGTTGTGATTTTCCAGGTCTCTGCAACCTGATTCTACTTTGCTACCACCCTTCTCGGGGTCACAGACCTAAAAGCCTGTTTGGGGCACGTCACTGAGGCACGTTAAACAACGAAAGTTGAAGCGGTAATTTTCCAGCTGGTGCTCACCCATTGGTGGTTGCTTAAACAGAAAGATGGGAATAAATACATCCTTTTTGATCCATGGCAGAAAAGGAGATGGGGAGGATTGCTGTTCTGTTTTCTTTATTAGAGGAACTGGCCAAGAGGCAGAGTTCCACTTTGTGGTCTTTTTCTCAGGCTTCCTGAAGGAGGAGGTGAGAAGACCCCAGCCCCGGGTAGGCACAGGGAGGGGCTCCTCCCCGGGCCTGAGCTGGGAGGGACTTCTGAGGCTTGCATACGGGTGATTCAGAGTGTCTGGAGGCCATGTTCTGGTCCTGCTTGGATTTGGAACGGAGGAGTGGTTGGGGGGAGCAGCTATGAGAAATTCACTCACGCACTCATTCATTGATTCATTGATTCTGTGCTGGGGCGTGCCCTGACTCTGGGGACTCAGGACTGAGTGTCAGCCTCCTTGCTCTTGTGAATCTCACAGCCTTTTGAGGGGGCACACAATGCAACGTGAGGCTAGGTGCTGGAGAGTCGAGCAAGCATGCTGCGAGGGCATGCTGGGCAGGTGGCATGGGAGGAGGGCCTGATTTGGACTTGGACATCAAAGACTGTCTCTCCAGAGGGAGCTTGTGCGTGTGAATTGAGACCTGAGGACTGAGAAGTGCTTGACCTGGGGGAAGACATAGGCAGAGGGAGCAGGGCTGGAGGCCCTACATGAGGAAGAGCCTGACAGAGGCCTCCGTGGCCACAGCTCTACTACTAGTGAGGTTAAAGTGAGCCTGGTGAGGAGTTCAGATCTGTTCAGTCCCGTTCAGGGTTTTACACAGGGCTCGATATGCTCTGATTTGTGTTTTAAACCTCTCTAGCAGCCCTGGGCCATTGTTGGGGGGGGTTGGTGGGATAGGGAGCAGAATAATAAGGCCATGGGGGAAGGCAAAACGTTTGCTCCTCTTCAGGGTGAAGACTTGGCAGGTTCGTCGTTTTGGATCGGGTGGCTGGAAGGCCTGGGCTGGGTTTGATTGCCTGCTTAATCTGCCTGTTCGTTCCAGAGCTACTCAGTGTCTTCCCAAGGTATAACTTTCCTGCTAGAGGCAAATCCTAACAACCCTGCATTCCTGCCTGTGCTAATGACAGTCTTCCCACCCCAGCCCCAGTACAAATGTTTTCGCCTTCACCAGATTGTGGCCAAGGGAGTGGGAGTGGGTTCAGTTACGGGCTTTGTTCTTTTATTTAGCTCCTGATCTTTAGTGGCAGTGAAGACAGGCAGAAATTCTAATTCTGGGACAGACATTTATGAGTGCTGTGTGTCGGTTTTGTGAGTAGCATGCTTCCATAGGTAAAGGTGCTTTAAGGAGCGGTGTTCTGATCTTATCACTCCTCTTTTCCAGATATTCATTCCACGAAAAGTGTTACGCTCTTCCTGTGTGTCAGGCACAGTGCCAAGTGTTGGAGTTACAGTGATTAAGGCAGACACTATTTTTGCCCTTGTGTGAGTTTATAGTCCGAGGTGATGCCAGCGAGAGAAAAGGAGAGGTGGGGGTGGGATGTGCTTTCCTCCTGTGGTCTCCATCAGAACCCTCATTCATTTCCATGTTCGGCTGACATTTCACAACCTTGCATCAAGCACCAAGCAATGAAAGCAAAGCCCCCTCCCCAAACAGATTACCTGTCCCCACCGGTATAGAAATTCTGGAGGCTGGGCGAGGCAGCTCACGCTTGTAATCCCAGCAGTTTGTCAGCACTTTATGTGGTTGAGGCAGGATTGCTTGAGCCCAGGAGTTGGAGGTGGTGGTGAGCCATACTTGTGCCTCTGCACTCTAGCCTGGGTGACAGAGTGAGACCCCGACTCAAAAAAAAGAAAAGGAAAAACAAAAATTCTGGAACTGCTACTGTATATAGTCAAGTGGGGGAGGTAGACATTAAACAAATAGTTGATTCAAGAACGACTCGATTACAGTTAACATCAGTGGCCCATTCAAAGGACAGAAAGCCAAGCAGGGAGGGCACAGCCTGGGATCTGGAGAAGGTTCCCTGGAGTGCAGGTCTGCCAGACTCAGCCAGGCTGGGGCGGTGGTAGAAAGTCCAGAAGCAGGAAGGAGCCTTGGGATACTAGTCCTTTGAGGAAGAGAAGATTAGAACTCTGTTCTGGCTCTACCTTCCGAGCTTTCTGGCTCAGTGTGTTCAGCTGTTTCAGCTTTGGGGGCTGCAGAGCTTGAAAGATGGATGTACAGACACTGACCACATGGTCAGAGTTAAATTATGCCTTTGCAAGCTCCATAGCCTTGGACAAGTTATTGTAATTTTATGTGCCTCAGTTTCCCTGTCAGTACTTTGAAAACTAATAGTAGTACTTACTGCAAAGAGTTGAGTAGAGCTTGATGGGGTAATAAATACACTTAGAACAGTGCCTGGTGTCCTTTAAGCACCAAATGTATGGTAGATGTTTATTGAGCATATCCAGCTGTTTGATTCAAAAAATGAGTTAGAATTTCAAGAGGAGCCCATTTATCTGGGTGTGTCAAAAACTTAGAAAGAAAAAAGCAATCTAAAATGCAAAAAAAGGCCAGGTGCAGTGGCTCATGCCTGTAATCCCAGCACTTTGGGAGGCAGAGGTGAGAGGACTGCCTGAGCACAGGGGTTCCAGACCATCCTGGCTAACATGGCAAGACCTTGTCTCTACATTTAAATCAAAAAATTAGTCAGGCATGGTGGCACGTGCCTATAGCTCCAGCTATTTGGAAGGCTGAGGTGGAAGGATCCCCTGAGCCCAGCAGATCAAGGCTGTGGTAGCCATGGGCGTGCTGCTGCACTCCAGCCTGGGCTGCAAAGTTGAGACTCTGACTCAAAAATAATAATAATAATTAATTAATGCAAAAGAAGTTAAAATCATTATACTGTGACTGTCATTGCACCTTAACTAGCACAGTTTTTACAAGACAAAAGTTGTGTTTTCAGTTGTGCTGTTGGGTATCTTAGTTGACCAAAGGGTTCTTTTTTTTTTTTTTT